AACTCTGGCCAATTATAATACCACTGGCTGAGTATTAAAGCTTAAGTACATATCGCTTTCCATGATTAAAATCAGGTATTTCTCTTGAAATTGAAAATTGACTAGGTTAGAGGATTCATGGACTCTGCAGCTGAAGTTATTGTGTACTTTCTTGTTGTCAAAGGAGAATTCTCACTTATATTGAATTGATATTACTCAGATTTTTCTTGACTTCCTGGTCTTTGGTTCCTCTGTAATAATGCTTCAACTTCATTTTCCTTCACAGTTTCCTCTCGCATGGTGTGTCCCTCCACGACTGACTGACAAGGAAGTTGAGTCATTCATTAAGGGGGCAATACACTGAAAATGGCCAAGAACTGACTTGTGCGATTGCTTCCATACGCGTTGTTGAGCGTAGTTCGAACTTTACATGTGTCAAGACCTTACAAAAAGAAGCATTTCAAACCCAGAATAGCGTCGATCGGACGTCAGGGATCGGAGCAGCGCCCAATCAAATTTTCGTCAAAAGTCGAACTGGCGGGCGTCCGCAAAAATGAAGATATCTCGACCCCGTTTGCGCCAAAATGTAGGTAATTGAAGCGGCTATAGCATTAACTAGGATTATGAACATCGAGCAACCCAAAGTACAAAATTTCATCCGAAAACACTTTTTGAGGATTTTGCAAAAATGATCAAACCTGGTTTTTTCGAAAAAAAGCGCCCCATTAAGAAGTGGCTTATATCTCACAAAGACCGTATGGCACCAAGGTCTCACCAGAAGAAGACTGCGAACTCAAACAAAAGACCAAGAAAGAAAAAAAAACTCCTAAGAAAAAGCGTTAACTGGACTGCCACCCAAAATTATTGGCTGAGCGGTAGCGAAGCCTGTTACTCCAGTGCGGTTGAAAAGTTATGTCTGTCTGTCTGTGTTAGTCCAGGAAAGTTAGACATTTTTAGGGGTTCCCAAAAACCCCCTATTGTTCGAGGCCCCGTGGATTCTTCCCCCCCCCCCCCCCCCGTTTTTCAAATAAACAACTCTAAACTATTTCAACCAAAAAAAACAAAAATTCCCAATTTTTTTCGAAAATTCATCGTGGAAATTTTCCGTAAACGCAAAAACAAAAATTTGCAACAATCGAAAACGAGAACCGTTAAATGATATGAAAATATGGTTCAAATAAAAATGTGCCACCCCTCAAAACTAAACCTCCTGGCTCGTCAAAGTAACAAGAAATCATATAGTTCTGAGAAAATGGTCAAAACATAAAAAAAATCTCCATGGCAACGGCATGGTCCCATCGTACCCCCCGTAAAATTTTAAAAGTCGCTCATTAAAAAAAATCTAAACGCCGTGAAATTCGAAAATGCTAATGCTAAACATTGCACGGTGTCTCAACGTTGGAACATCTTTAAAGTCTGTCACTAGTAGAAAGTTCGTAGCAAAAACGACGCATCAAATTTTTTTTCGGGGGTTTGGCACCAATACGCTTGCCGTCTGCGCCCTTTCGAAAATCGCGAGGCTGAAAAAACGAACAGGCGCTCTTTGAAATGCCCCTCCATTGTTGCTGAGGTTGGATTGTTTGGCATGCTCTCAAAGGCTGCGGTTGTCTTGTCATGTTTTCCTCGATTTTCAACCAGTTATGGAAACGGGAACACCGTGCAATGCGATTAGCATTGGAATTTTTTTTTGCTATGACCCCACCTTTTTTTCCAACAAAGGTCTGTAATATGCGTTGGAAAGGTCTTGAAAATTTTGGTGAAAGAGTGGTGAAGAGTGGTGAAGATGGTGAAAAATCAACCAAAGTCTACTTTGGGGAAATTTAACAGTGTTTAACGGAAGTTGAACATGTTGAACATTTTTTGGGAAAAGCCAAACCTTTTTGGCTGAGCGATAGCGAAGCCTGTTACTCCAGTGGGGTCGAAAAACATTTTATGTCTGTCTGTTTGTCTGTCTGTGTACACTCATCCTCCTGAACGGCTCGGCCGATCTGGCTGAGATTTTGCAGGCTCATTAGGAATGTTCTTGGCTCGGCACACGCGAAATTTCACTTTCCTTACTCCACTGGTTCAGTTTTTATAGCCGAAAAACACCTAAAATTGCGAAAAACGAGTTTTCTGAAGGGAGATTTCTTATGTCTTGATAAAAAAGGGGGGCTGGGGGGGAGAGCCCCCCCCAAACCCGACAAGTTAAAAAATTTTCAAGGGTCAAGGTTGTGTAATTTGTGGATGAAGCAACTCTATAACGAGTAAAGGGGGGGCTGGGGGGCGGAGCCCCCCGCATGCAACAAATCAGAAGTAACTGATGATGGGCAAGCATTGCCTGCCCAAGGCAGGCTAGCGCCGCAGGCCAGGGTAGGTACGCCAGGCGCGGATTGGAGGAACAGGGCCCCGAGACATCGCGAAGCCTGTTACGACAAGACGCGGTCTGGCGTAACCTACCTTGTTACCTAATTTGTACAGAGCTTCGCGATACGTCGTTGGAATCCTTATGAAACGTACTTTCCGGAAATATATAGGAACCTATTAGGTTTAGTCAATTTTTGTACCAAAAAATAGACAAAATGCGCAAAAATTACTTTTTTTGAAGTGTTCAAGTTTTGTTATGGGCCTGTTGACGGCCCAAAAAAGCGTGTCCAATCAAAAATTTGGGGCCAAATTAAACTTCAAGATTGCGCTTTACTCTTAATTTTTTACTTGATGATATTGGCGCGTTTCCCACTTGTTTCGCCGCTACAGGCCTCCGAACGGACGCCTGCAGTCGACGCTCTACGGCTGCTCTCGGCCAATGGTGACCGTGGTACACACGCCAAATGCCATAAAAAGCGCGTCAGGGCCGCAGACATGCCAGGCTGTGGACCACACCCCCACTTGGAGACGCACCGCCAGCATCACCAGTATCACCCGGGGCACCACTTGAATCACCTAGGGGTAGCTAGGGATGTGCGAATAGTTCGGTATCGAATCGAATCGAATCAGGGCTGATTCGATTCGGGGACGGATCTCTTTGCTTCGACCCCGAATATTCGAAATTTCGAATCGACAGTGGTTCGTCTTCGAATCCGTAGCTCGGGAACGGTTGAAAGTCGCGCGCACAGCGTACTTTTTATACCAAAGCAAGATCAGATATTTATTTTTTCATCTTTTTGTATTCATACTGTATGCCCTTCCTTTATTACATGTGTTTTGTGCTTGAAACGCACTAATTTTTTGTAGTTTCAGTTCGAATTCGATTCGATTCTGAATCTTTATAAGTTCGATTCGATTCGACAAATTTTTCCAGATTCGATTCGATTCAAAACTTTTTTGAAAGATTCGATTCGATTCGGGGAAACCGAGGGCGAGGGAGGCGGCCTGGTGCTGGTCTAACTCGTGCTGAAACCCGGAGGATCAATGCCGAGGTACTTCCCTGCCTGTAAACATTGTGGTAATTATACCTGGACCTGGCTACATTGCTCACTTTTACATGTGTTGTTTAGGAACGGGAACGTCGCCAAAGAGAGGTGCAGATGATCCACGAGGCACGTCGCCAAAGACTTCGTGAGGTCACTCGTGCCCAAGCGGAGATGACAAGGAACAGAGCTGATCCGCCGCAGCACAATAGGCCGGACGAGTGAGGTCTGGGGTTGTGTTCATCCGCCAGGACCAGAGGGACTATGTTACCATGTTAATCTTATGGGACTGATTTTCGGAGTGCCCATTGTAAACTTATTAGACATTTCTTAAGCAATGCAAGTGCATTTTTGTGATGGCGGTATTTTTTAACGACTCTGGACGAGTTTTGGCGTCTTTAATACTGTTTAGGAAAGGATTTTCGTAAAACCTGCAGACGGAGCTAAAAGCTTACGGTGAATTCCTCATACCCTCGGTTTGTTGTTGATATGATGGCCCTGTCTGCTGTGTTCTGTGGTAGTCTTTTTCTTCCCACAAACAGTCTTGAATCGCCAGAAAACATTTTCAACCTAAAATTAGATTGGTTATATCTGTGATTTCATCCAAATGCAAAGCACAGTTTACTTTCAAGTGTACAAAGAAAACAGAATGCTAGCAGAATGGCCTGCTTTGGCGCGCGGCCCGGCTACGGGGTATGAGAAATTCACCGTGAGGATAGCTCGTCGGCCGTCTTTATATCACATTATTATAGAAGTAGGCAATACAATTTTTGTTTTATCGAGCTGAATCGTATTTAAAACAGCTGTTCTTTCCATTTCAAAACATTTAATTGCTAAGAATTCTGTATTTTATGCTGTCAGCGTGCTTCTCCATGCTATCATATGGGAGCCTTGTCCTGGGACTATCTGCGGAGGGATACGACTCGTCCAGTCTATGTAGATGCTGTGGAAGGTAGGGCCGAGGTCGCCCTGATGAGGCAATTCCTCTCAGAGAAGGAGCTTGATTACTTTGGTACATTAGGTCAAACATTAGCTGCAGCTAATGTTAGCAGCTATGCAGCTAATGTAACCATGGTATGATGCGCCAAATGCCGGTGGCTGTAGCTGGCAAGGCAATGGTGGTGATGCTGGACTTTGCGAACAAACTTCAAAATTGCTGTGATGAAGAGAGACAAGGGTTCTTGAATTCGACAGTGGAACTTTGGTAATTGCGTTGTGTGAAATTTTTATTTGAATATGACTGATCTGATGGTACGTGTTATGTTTTATTCTTACTTTTAATCTTTAATTCTATGAACCCTGTTAATATTTATTTGACGTCTATGTTCTAATATTGTGACTGATCTTGTTTTTATTTGACTTCGAGTTCAAATATTGTGATTGATCTTGTTCCTATTCTTTTATCAAACCTTGTGTAAGTGGTTGTGGCTTGCTTTAAAAATATGTATCATCATATTACATTCATATACCACATAAAACAATGTTACTTTGTGTTTCATTATTTCAGAGCTAGTTTAATGTTCTGATGTTATGACATAATCAAAACACTTATTTCCAAAAAGAGGATGGTTCTTTATTTAGTTCAGAAAATACAACAGACATTAAATTGCAAGTGGAAACATTGCAATGTATTTACACATTGCTCACATCAGGCAGCATATTGAACTGCCATTGTAAAGGACGAGCGACGAACAACTCCATAAACTTCTCCCTTACTTCATAAGCACTTTCCAAGGAAAACTCAGGTGACTCCTGAAACGGTAATCTGCGGAAAATGGTATTCTCTTTCACCCTTATCTTCACTTCTCCAGCGACCCCTCTTAAGTTTCCCATTATTGCTCCTATAGCAATCAGCATAACCAGGAGGTAGGTAAACACGTTCACGGTTAGTCTCGGTCCTGAAAGATTCAGGACCGGAACGGGTCCTCGAGTAACCAGGACACCTGTTTCCAGGACGGGGGTGGCGCAATTCGACCAGTTTGCCGTTTGGTCCTGGAAACGGGTGGCATTGGCGCCTTCTGTCACCAAGATCCAGGACGGTTCGGAATGTTTGGCGCTCTCGGTCCTGGAAACGAGTCTTTGCGGCTCCTAGACGTCGCGAAGAGACCAGATCGGACCAGAACGCTTGCGCGCCTCGCCCAGGTCGGGCTCAGACCTGGTTCTGGTTTGCTGCGCCCCTGGCAGGTCACGGCTGACAGTCGCTCTGCGGTCCAGGTCGGCCGTCAGTCCTGGATCTGGTTCTCTGCGCACCTGGCTGGTGTGGCGCAGCCGGTGTCAGTCCCAGCCAGGTCAGCCGTCAGTCCTGGATCTGGTTCGCAGTGCGCGCCTGGGAAGCAGACCACCCGCGCGTGCCGCTACGCAGCTGCGCGAGGTGGGTTGCCTACCCTGCATTACCATTACCATTAAGGGCTAGACCACACATGATCGTATGCCATTTCGGGCCCGACACATGCCCGCCTGCACTGCAAAACGAGACATGGCCGTCCTTACTAAGGTGACACTTTTTCCCGGCGGAGAAGAACCTCAAGCGGCTACGACTCCCACTCGCAGTATGGCCAGTCAGGGTGAAGGAGTACATCCCCCCCGAGGGGGGTATGCAGGCCTCCACCCCGGAACAGCGCCTACGAGCACAACCGGTTCCGGTGCCCCCCTGCTTCGTCCCCTTATCTCGGGGAACAACGGCGTCCTCTTGGTCCAAATCTTGATGTATTGAGAAAGGTGTGCTTCGCCCTGCCCCTCTCTTCATGCGACCTGTGTCCTGACGAGAGCATCCTGCGACCTTGCCGACAGAATAGGAAGCCAGACACCCGACCGACTACACCAAATCGCCGTGCTGTGCATGTTGGTCTAGGATCTGCGATCTGGCGGTAAAAGAGACATCCCACTGCATCCCACCTGTAGAGAGGGCCTCCTGTGCGCGGCCCCGTCGCCTCATCACCGCGTCTGTGAAAACGAACCCCAATCGCAGGCGTCGATCTTCGGTCGTAAGGGGTCGGGCTGGGAGGTCGTGCCGGTGGTCCTGCTCTTGAACACGGCGTTGGTATTGACGGGTCCGTGTCTTGGGTCACGCTGCAGTCTCCGTCTACAGCATCGCGCGGAAAAGCCTGTGGAAAAGAAGGCCGCCACCAAGGTGTTGCAGACGGCCGGGCGGCGGCGTGTGTTGGTACGCGCGGTTAACTGCAAAGGGACCACTCGCCAGCAGAGTGATAAAACATGCGAGCACCTTTACTGAAAAACTTTTTACTTTTACAAACAGTAACATATAAAACCCATTTCAAAAGAAAATTTTTTTTTATGCCAGTGCCTCTCTTTAAACATTCAGGAATTGAGATAGAAGTCCTCTATTCCCCAAGCCAGACAGTTGCTGAGATTGCTTACCTATCTGTACAGCCAAAGTCTCTTGCATGAGTGTATAGATGAGTCATGAGGGCATCTACTATTGCTGTCTGATTTGTGCCAGTTAAAATAGAATTTTTAGCATAAAACTGAATGGCTGCATCAGCTGTTATGTGTTTTCCACAAACTGCATTAATATCCTGCAACAATAACAAAAACAACAATGAGATATTAGAATAAACACAAATATTACATAATGCATAAAGATACGATAATTAATGGAACTTACAATATCTGCGATAAATTTGTTTAAGCAAAATCGAGCAGCAACTTGTTTCACAAATGAGGAAGTTGAAGCCTAAAAGGAGAAAATGACGTTGGAATTCAATGCAGTATGGCCACAATAATACCATGAATGTAATGCGGTAGAAACTTACTGATTGAGAAGATGACGCAACAGACTTCATTGCAGAAACAGAACTAGAAGTGGTGGTTGCTGTTGTTGCTGTTGACACAGGACGCTGGGCCTGAATTGAGCAGCCAGACAGAGACTGCGGTTCCTATGTCAAATAAAAAATAAGAGGATGTTAGTGACACAACTTCAGTTTGAGATGGCACATAAAAAAAAATTGAACTCACCAAGGACATAGAGTGCTCGCCAACATTTTGACTCTTATTTAGAAAGAACTGAAATATGACAAAATAACAAACCACATTTAACCAATGTTATTTAACTGTGATAGATAAAATGTTTGTAGGAGAGAAAAACTAACCTCTTTTCTTTTTTCCAAGAATTTCATTCGCTGTCCAATCTTCGGTATTAATTCTTTGAGAAGTTCTCCATCTATGGTTTCCAACATATGCAACGATATTTCTTGCTCTGTAATAATAACAAAATTAATAGTTCTCATGAACACAAGCAAAGGCCACCACTGAACTCTAAATAAGAACCTATCATTCCTGACAGTCTTTTGAGAGAAAACTTGAAGCCAAACTCAGTTGGGTTGCATATAACCTGCATTCCCAAGCAGTCAAGTAAGAATTCAGAAAGAACACTTTTAAAACTTCAATGTAAAACACAATAGAATGCGAGCTACATAATAAGTTCACAAGTTCACAAGTTAGACAACATATCAACGTCACAAAGACATCGGTTAGAACATTCTTTTGATATCTGGGTGTTAGGCTGTGAAACTTGCGCGTCGTGCGATGGAACTTTTACATCTGTTCATTTTTCATCACGATGCTTACTTCGCCCAGTGACATGGCATCATTCTTAACTGCGTTCGACCCTGGCACGGAGTAAACATCTTAAAATATCGAAGGGCAGAAGTTCGCTCTCTGCTGAAACAATTCTACCCGTAAACCAATTTAACGTGTTCCAGAGAACCTAACCTCCTCTGCGAACTTCAGACCAAAACAACCGTTTGGCCAACAACACGGCACAAAAAGTCTCTGATCCGACACGGACACAATAACGTTTCGTGAGAGCCCCCACAACGAATGAACATCGTCAAAACTTCCTTTCACCCGTAAAGGTGTACTAATATATGGTCTAATGCCCACGAACAGTGAAAATATTCATCGTGATCTAGGGAAATCACGCACAGACGGTTGAGAATGCTGACTATGGTTATAGCACGAAATTTAAATTCAGGCCATCCACAAAGAAGGAAAATAATGGTTTAACTTGACGGCAATGACAAATGAGCCAGCTATAGCTCGCAAAGAAAAGCCACGTTCACTGCATCGCACGGAAGTGCTCAGTTCTGTGACCATTGAGATAGCATGCTTTCTCTGTTAGGTGATAGACTTTCAAGAAAAACGAAAGCTAGGGCTTCGCTTACCAAGAAATGCAGGAGTGAGCTGGTCCAGCTCCCACGCCGATAGAATAGCCTCCACTGACTCGGCGCTGTCCATCGTAAGAGGTTAAAGGTTCGGCCCGAATGTCAAATGTCAGCACCCAGCTGGCTGGGCTGGCTGTGTTTGGGTGGAGGAGTCGGAATCGGTCGCTAGAGGGCACTAGAGGGCCTCCGGAGTGACGTCATAGTATGAGAAATTCGACTCTACCGACCAAATAATCGTCAAACCGACTAAAAATTAGTATTCGTATCATCTACTAAGAAATCTTCGTCGATTCGAGTTTACTTTTTGGGACAGTGTGGTATGCAGCCTCCTTGGGTGATCCTAAGAACCGCCCGGTGGCAGCAAATCCGATCCGAGCCCCGGGGGCGCTGCTGCAGGTGCATCATAGTCTACATGGGGTCGAGGAGGATTTCGGCAACGGATACAGCTAGCAGGGCATGTAGGGGTATTTTTGGAATCAGGGTGCCAGTTTTAAGCGAATCAGAGAAGTTTGGACCTGGGTTCAAATCCCGGTGGGGTACATTTTGAACATTCTGTTCATTCGAGTTATTGCATTGTTTCTGATGTTTTTGAGGGTGCTGATGACGAAAATAACATCTATTTTGACCCCAGAAGCAGGTACAAATCTCATTAGTGTTAATCGAAATTCACACATTTCTAAATGTACGGGACGGGCCAAAGTGTATATCGCTACTTTTCCTGTTATTTTTCAGGAAGGGATGTAAATAACAGCGGTAAAGGAGAAAATGTCTGTCAGCAGTCAGGAAAAGGGTATTTTTAATCAAATACTACTTTAGTTTTCTTTAGTGCCTAGAGACCTGAGGGACAAATGGCTAAATATAGTGTTTTTATGGCTGTTATTCAGGAAAACAGAACTTTTTCCCATTTGCTCCCCCCACTGCAACTCCCTCTGTACAAAATGTGGGCAAAACAAGCCAACTGTGCTGCTCCTGTGCAATAGCCATGGCAGCTGCCTTTGTTGTCCTCTGCAATAAGTGTGGTAAATCAGTCCATCCTATCATACCCTGTTCTGTACCTGCTCCAAATGCAGATGGATCAGTTAAAATAATTGATAAGAAGCGTATCTGCCGTGATTGCAATGGTTTGTGATTACAATTGTATATTTTTAGTAACGATACAACAAGTATCCCTGACTGTGCTGAATATTCTTTTTGTGGAACACTGTTCAAAATTTCTGTTTATTGTTCTAGGCTCTTCATGTCTTTCTGGTGTAACAGTGAGAAAAAAGAGAAACATTGGACCAAATTCATGTGAGATGAACGCCAAATTAGGGATGTAAAGGCCGGTAATATTTACCGGTTAGCAGGTAAAATACGGTAAAATACGGTATTTTACGGTGACCCCGGTAAAATTGGTATTTTTCGGTAATTTTGAAATATTGACTCTTGGTTTGTATCTGCCCCTCGCGCCGCCCCATGTACGTGTAAGACGTCATCTCTGGGCACATAAACAAAGCAAGAAGTCAATGTTCTCTTCTTTTGCAAAACTTGTGGAAAATAAAATCTAACTACACGTGCCAAACCAGAAACTTCTTTGTTGCCAATATAAGTATAATGTGTAAACTAACTTAAAGCAGAAAATAGGAAAAAATAGGGGTAGATACTTGTTAGTTACTTGAGCTTAAAAATGCTATAGACATGAACATGACATGGACACATGGACACCGTGGGGCCGCCGGTGCCTTTCAGGAAAAAGAATTTTCATGAAATTGAGCCAACTTACATGGACAACGAGAAAAAAAGGCCCCATTTTTGCACTTCAGATATTTGGGCTTTTAAATTTACGGTCAAAAGAACCAGGCAGAATCAAATTTATTTAAAAAAAGGGAAAGTCCACAAATTCAGACATGGGAGGAGGGGTCAGTAAGTCGGAGAGTAGTTAAAAACCCCACACAGTGTTTGGCCCTTGTCTTTCAAAATGCGACGTTGTTCTTGAGTCATGTTCGCTTGGAAGTATGTATGAAACGATGTAACCGATACACCCTCATCCAAACGTACCTTTTCCCCCCCTATTTTCACAAGAAGTACCACAATTACCCCTCAAAGTCAAGAAAAATCAATTTTACCCAATTTTACCGTATAATACGGTAAAAAACCGATTTTACCGTATTTTACGTAACTTTTAATCTTACCGGTATTTTTTTCATCCCTACGCCAAATTTGAGGCTGGTAACTTCTAATTCTTTATGCTCTGCTATTGGGAGTCGATTTTTATTTTCCTAAGTTTTTGTTTGTCTGCAGGTACAACATCACAGTTTGAATTTTGATTCAATAGTGAGTCATTGTTGGTACTGGACTACACTATAACTAGTGAAGACATCAAAAGTTTGGAACCAGGACACTGGTTAAATGACAGGATAATGGACTGCTTTCTAGATCTTACGTCATGCCCAGTAAAAATGAGTCAAACTGCAGCTAAAATTTTTAAGCCCTATTCACTAGCTTTAGAATGTACCACCATGGGCTCAGATTTGCTGCTTTCCATGGCAGACACAAAATACCTATTATTCAATGACTTATGGCTAGTGCCATCGCATGTCAATAGAAACCATTGGGTGCTGTTCATCGTGATAGTAAAGAAGAAGCTCATTCTTCTCCTTGACCCAATGAAAGGTGCTTTCAGATATAATATTTCTTCTGATGTTTTGCAGCAGCTTCAAGAAACATTGAATAAACTAGGGGTACGCGCCGTTTTGTTTGGGCGCGTAGTAGGCGAGCGATGCGTCTGTATTCTTGTAGAAGATGGTGAAGAATGTATGCAAAGTAAGGCCAATACAGGGTCTTCCGTAATGAAAGGGCCGGAATTAATGTCATTTTCGTGATTATCTTACTGAAAACTGCAGGAAACAATGTGAAACTCAATTTTAAAATTTTGGGGAAAGTAAAGGTCTGGGATGAAATTGGAAGTCATTTTCGTGATCAGCACACCAAAAACTGCAGGAAACTATGTAAAACTCAATGTAAAAATTTTGGTCCGAAATTGGTAAATATTTGGAAAAGTAAAGGTCTGAGATGAAATTGGAAGTCATTTTCGTGATCAGCACACCAAAAACTGCAGGAAACTATGTGAAACTCGATGTAAAAATTTTGGTCCGAAATTAGTAAATATTTGCAAAAGTAAAGGTCTGAGACGAAATTGGAAGTCATTTTCGTGATCAGCACACCAAAAACTGCAGGAAACGAAGTAAAACTCGATGTAAAAATTTTGGTCCGAAATTGGTAAATATTTGGAAAAGTAAAGGTCTGAGATGAAATTGGAAGTAATTTTCGTGATCAGCACACCAAAAACTGCAGGAAACTATGTAAAACTCGATGTAAAAATTTTGATCCAAAATTGGTAAATATTTGGAAAAGTAAAGGTCTGGGATGAAATTGGAAGTCATTTTTGTGATCAGCACACCAAAAACTGCAGGAAACTATGTAAAACTCGATGTAAAAATTTTGGTCCAAGATCATGTAATTCTAGTTGAAAGTATGGGTCTTCAGTTGTTAGGTTTTTTAAGAGTGTTTCCTGTTCATGGTGTCAGGCCATGAACCTTGACCCTGTTACGCAGTCGAGTAACATTTAACAGCCAGCATTGAATTGCTTAATACGATTCACAAATACTTCAATTACCATTCGATATCTCCTTGTTACTGAACTTATGAATACGCAATGTTATTAGTAATACCTAAAAAGCCTTTCTCCCTTTTAGTTTAAACTAGTGGATTAAACTATATTGATTCATCTGCATTAATTAAAAAGAGACATATTTACAGGCAGGCTGATTGCAACTACTTTACGGAGAAGACCTTTTGTCAGATCCAATGAATCGTTTCATAGAATCCTATGTCGAGGCCACTTATTGCTAAACGCAAGTTTATCTTATTCATAATGATAGTCATGATGTGTTATTTAATCTTTGAAACAGTTTATCAAAAGTATTTACCTAACAGTCTGAGTAAATTAAAAAGAGAGCCAACTCAAACCATGACCAACACAAATTACCAGTTGTCGCAGACAATGTATAATTAAGTTAAAAGAATCGTCTCATGAAATCATATGACCAAGTCAGTGAATCGTCTTATTGAATCTGATGTCAATGTGAAACCTTGAATGCGCTACACTCACTCACCATATGGTTTTCTTAAAGGTTAGTACTATGTAAACT